CCCTCCCCCCCCCCGAGCTGCTCACTCCCACTTACCGCTGCCGAGGAGCCCTTTCCCCAGTGGGGTAGGGGGGGGGAGAGGGGAAGAGGGACGCTGGGGGGGTGATCATTGCTTTTCCTACACCTGCTACCTGTAAAAGTAGCCCCCGAGGCTGCCAATAACCTCCCACTACCCACTCCCCAGCCACCGCCATGCAGGACTCAAGGTGGCAGGCAGGGGGGGCACACAGGAAGGGCTTACCATGCAGAGCCTGCAGGAACTGTCTCCAGTGCTGCGCTGGCAGGAAAAGGGTTTCCAAAGGAGCGGAGGGAGGGAAGGAAGATGCTCCAACCTGCTGCGGTGCCCAGCTCTGCCAGCCTGCAGCAGCACAAGCAGGAGTCTGAGCTGGGTGTGTATTTCTGCTCCCACCCGTTTCTCTTAAATACCCCCACTGCTATCAGCCAATAAAAAAAATACACCCTTCTGATTAACATTTTTGGTGACCCAACCCAGTCTCCACCCCTTATCAGCCGTGCTCTTGGTGTGTGGGTGGTTGTGCCACTAAAAATGAGTATGTGTTAAGGTGCTTGGGTGAGGCGGTGTTAGTATAATTATGTTTAATTATTTTTTTGTTAGTCAGATTCCCCACCCCCCGTGTCAGCTGCCCCCTCCCTGAGGCCAGCTGGCCAAAGCCTGAAGAGCAGGTGGCAGGTGAGGCTGGGACAGAGGTTGCTGTGCTGACCCCTTGCTGGCTGAGCTGCACTCCCAGGTTCTGCATTGCAGCAGCATCTGCCAGGCTCTTAACCACATGGGAATTCATCAGCTGGGTTTCCCAAAAAAAAAAAGGTTACTTTGGATCTCGGTGCTGCAGGGCAATAACGGTTTTTACAGTGTGCAGTTATTCCAGCCATTTTACTGTGCCTGTTCACTTTCCTCAGACACCGAGATGAAGGTGGCAACCCTGGGGCCTTGGGGAAGGCACAGTGTTAGCCCTTCCCCACTTCCTTCCCTCCCACCTCCTCCCCTCCCCCACGGAAGAAAAAAAAAAATTGTTTCTGCGTGTTTCCTGCTTTAGGGTCTTAGCTCTAACTAGGAGAAAGGAAGTGGACTTTTTAAAAAACAAAAACCAAAAAAACAGGCCTGCGTTTCTTCCCTGGGAGGCAGGATGTGGCTGCTGCAGGCCCTGTGCAGCTGCAGGTGTTTTTTGTCTCCAGCCCTGGGACTGAAAACTGTGAGTCTGATTTTTTTTTTTTCCCCAGGCACATATGGTCACTAAGTTGTGGATTTATTTTTATTTCTGAGTACAAGTCTTTTATTTGGTAGACTTATAAAACAACTTTACATGAGAAGTACAAAAATATGAAATAGGCTTTGAATCTTCTTAGGTAAAACTACCATTAATTTTTTTTGTTGTTGTCAAGCTTTAGAAACATGTAACTTGCACAGCTGGCATCTTAGGTAACTTGCTCACGTTGTACAACTAGGAAAACTTTTCCCATAAAGTAGCTCCAGAAAAGTAGCTGTACATACCCAACCATACACATGACTGTCAAGAATGTATTATTTTAAGAGCAATGGCAGTCATACACATTCCCACTTTGTAATTTCTCCTTTAATGACTTCCATTGAAAGATGCAGTATCACTTTCCTCTTCCAGTTGCTATAATATGATTAAATATAAGCACAACACTGATTAAGAATTATCTGGCATGCTTTAAACTTGTACCACTTGGATTTGATACCACTTTTTGTAGTAAAAATTAAATAAATATAAATACATTAAATAAATACTGTAAAAGACTACCCCCCCTTAGATTAGAATTCAGCAGTTCATCCTTTGCAGACACTTAATGCTTTGTCACAGCTTTAAGGCCAATGAAAAGAAATACTGCATCTTTAAAACCAGGCTCACTTAGATGTCATTCACAACCCATACAAGCAGAAAATGTGGGTTCCTCTACAGCCTTATCCACCCATTAAAATCAGTCTCTAACTTCACTGGTCTGTACAACTCTCATAGTTCCCTGTTTAGCTCTTTTTTTATATATTTTTTTTTCTCCCCAGGATTCATCTTAACTCTTTGCATCTGGGGACCTTTCTTCCTACCAAGGTAAGGAACACTTGCAGTAGAGAAATAATTAGCAGCTCACAGCTGACATCAGTGTGTTGTTCTGCAGTTACTGCAGGTGTTGTGATACTGTGATTTAAGTCAAGGCCTGTTCAAGCTCTTCTGTGAATACTGGTTGATATTTAAACAATGAGGCTTAATTTCAAAGTAGGTAAACCTTTAACTGATTTTTCAAGTCAGTATTTGTTTTAGAACTTCATTATATCTGATCAAGTAGGAGGGAGTAATTTTCCAGGGTAGTACTGATTAAACAGAAACTGTATTCTGCTGTTTTGGAGTAATTAGGAATTATTCCCTTTACAATCACTGTGGTGTGCCTAATGCATAACGTGGCAGTAGTGCAATAGCAGGGTCTAATGATTGGCTACAACTAAAAGGCTCCTTTTGCAGATCCCAATCCCTAGGAATTTATGCTTTCTTGTACTGTATTTTGATTCTCTGTAATAAAACACATCAGTTATGAAATCAGGTACAGTACAGGGATATTGGGTGACTCTTCTTTCCAGCTTTTGTTCTCCATTTTCACTGTCTTGAAAATTGCCACAGAGTAACTCCATCATCAGGGTTCACTGGTTGTCTGAAGTCACCCCTTGCTTCTTGGGCTCCTACCATCTCCTGATCCAGTACAGGCAGAGGTGCAAGGCACTTTTTTGGAAGACTGGTGTCTTCCAAGAGATAATTCAGCTCTTCGATCCCGCTTTTCCCCTGTGCTTGGAATGTTGGTCCCAGAAGAGAAAGCTCCACCCCTCTCAAACAGTGTCACCTGCAAGGCTCAGCTCTGCAATGTCCTGATCATAGTAATGCTGAAACAGTCTTTCTTGGCAGCAGATGTGCATTGCATGGTAGGTGTGGAGGAGCAGGTGAGGGAAACGAGCTGTAAAGTAACATACAAATTCATCTGGGATGGAGCCCAGGGTCTCCTGCACTTCAGGAGGCAGTTCTCTGTAATGGTGCTTCTGTAAAGGAGAAGAGAATGGGGGAAAGCTCAGTCAGAGGGTGTGTTTTCAAGAATCCTCTTTTAAATAGGGCTGTTTCTTCAAGATACATTTTCATGGACAAAGTAACCTCACTCTCTCACAGAGCAGCTTAATGCCACGACAAGCCTGGCAATGGACAGCAGGAGCAGGTAGAACCTCAGTGCATGTGCTGCTTACGGAGGGAAATCCTTTACCTTATTTCTCATTGCCCTCAGGAGATCCCGCACGGAGCCCCCTTTGTAGGATCGGAATTTTCGAAGATCTGCAAAAGAAATGAGGTTTCTTTCTGCATTCTGATGGAGTTTTAGTTGCTGGCCTCAAAGGGGAGGTATGTGTGTCTGCTGTCACATTCACTTATAGGTGTGTTTCAATATATAAACATGCACTGTTGTTTGAAGAAATACTGTACTGACAAGTAAAGGTCATATGCCAAGCCTGAGACTGTTGGCCTTCCTTTCCTGTCCCAGCAAAGTGGGAACAACTCCTTCCCACTGATAAAACACTGTCCATTACCTGTCTGAAGAGGAACAGTGATGTGCTCTCTCCAGTCCATCTTCACCACCTCTCTTCCACCTCTTTCCAATTGCTTGACTATTGGACCATCTAAAGATTCTTTCTCTATACGGTCACTAACATCCTAGAAGAGACATTTAGATTATTTCTGGGTTTCTTTTCAAGCTTTACCCAAAAAAATTAAATTGCTGCTTCTGGCCGTGACAACGGAGCTATGATTCTACTTCACTCCATGACAAAGTACAATATGGAAGGTTCTGAGATGAGGCTTTAGGTGTTATAACTTTGCTTCATCAATTCCTCACAGTGAGCTTGTGGAGTCTATCACCTCAAACCTCCAGAGCAAGGAGAGACTGAAGTCAGGATTTGAAGAATGTCTGCAGGATCCATTGGAACTGAAAGGATTGAAAAGGTCAACACAAACCTGAAAAAACTGGAGCTGCTTTTCTAAACTCCAAAAGAATGGGTGTTTGAGCACACAGCTTGCAGAGGGACGTTTCTGAGGATCCATGTTTATCATTTGCTCTATTAAATCACGAGCAACTATGTCTTCTGCAAGAAAAAGGAGATAATTGTTAGGCTGTAGG